AGGGTATATCAAATATATACCTCGTATATCAGGAGTATATCAAATATATACCCAGTATATCAAATATATACCTAGTACATATACTGTCCCGATTACACTAAAATAACCTCGGATGTTTAGTTTATTGGATTTTGGACAATGCAATGCTATGAATTCAATAACAAATTTATTGAATAAAACTTTATTGAATATACGTTTGTTTTTACACGAATATAAACTACGAGTTTATGACAACACACCCAACAGTTCAGGACCAAAATGGACACAACCGTATAGAACTCAAAAATATAAGATAAGTTATGTGTGATATTTATTGTCTTAATTTATCATAAGAATGATAGTTCCAAAGCTAGTTCTCACTATTTCTTCGGTAAATTCGATAAATATTCACTAAGGAAGGTTCAAGTCCAAAAGACACCTCTCCTGATGCATAACTTATCTACTCGCTCTCAACGTCTTGGTCGTGTTTTATCTGTCTCACTTTCTCTCATGTGGGGGATTGTTGGTATTTTAAGGTATGAAAGAAAGTGAGACTTAAAAGAAATTATTCACATATACGTTGTGAATATTATTCTTATTTATTATTAGAATGGTTTTGTTTATTTAGTTTATTAAATTTTAAATTATTTCATTATTTTGTTAAAATTACAAATGCACGTGTTAAAGTTACCTATGTAACATATGTAAAAATGTTACAGATGTGTTTAATTTTGAGTGAGATGTTACTTGTTTGTACAATTATATATAGTTGTGGATTTCTTCATTTTGAGATATCCAAGCATATCTCAATTGAGTATTTTCCTCCTCTCACAAGAATTCTCTATTCTTTTTGAGTTCTTCTTCTTGTTTGTGTTGAGAACAAGTGTCTAAGAGTTCTGCCAGATCCGAGTAGTTCGAGGTTGCAGTTCTACCGAAGTTAGTCGTTGTATCCTACTGAGATGATCGCTATAATCTGCTAGCAACTTATGCAGAGTGAATAACTGTCTTCAGGTTAATGCTATTGAAGCGTGCCTCGACTATTTTGATCAAGTTTTGGTGTTCATCAAGTTGTCAAGATCTATAATTGTTTGTAGCCAATTACGTTGTAAATTGTTGCTAGTATTATTCAGTTTACATATACAACGTATATTTACACAACACTGCTTTGTGTGACACAGACTTTTCTCTTTGCACAGACCAACGTGATGGACTCGGTCCATGTGTCACTCTAGATTTCACCTAACAATTGTGATCAAACCATAGCTAATTTTAATGTACCCTTTTTATGTATATAAAAAGCTTTACAACAAATAAGTTCCCCTTTACCTGTTTTTACTCCTGAGTTTAAATAAAAATATACAGTTACCTTTTTCATTATCTTAGTAACTTTTAAAGTTACTACTTCAGGCTAGTTTAATTTAGTAAGATTTTAGTAATTTTGTTTCATGGTGGAAAATTTAAATCTCCACTTCATGTATACTAGTCGGTTTAATTCCTTAAGATATTAATAACTTTTCAACACAGGCAATTAAATAGAAGTTCAAAATTTTTTTTAAAATAAGCCTAATCTAGGTTCCACCTAAAAATTCAAATGTAATATAAGATACAACAAACAAAGTCACAGTGTTATATTTGACCAAGAAAACGAAAAGTTATTACATTTTTTAAAATACATATATGCCCATTCTACCAATTTTTAGAAATTTATATTTTGGATTTAGTTTAAGAGTAGTATGAAACAAAATATATTGATTAAGACGATGTGCAATGCAACTAAAGAATACTAGGTTTAGCCAAAGCGAGCATAGCTCATGGATAATTGATATATATCTCAAATCAAGATTGTGAGTTGGACACGGTAAAAAAAAAAAAATTGTGAGTTGGATTTCCATCCCATGTTGTACTTAAAAAAAGAATACTAGTTTTATATATTTTTAAATTAAAATGAATCTATAAATGTTTACCATAAATAAGGTACATTATAACAATGACAATTTTATTTTATTTTATTTTTCCTTTTAAACTTAACAACTATTTAGGAAATTACAAAAATTATATGTTACATCTATAATCTACAAAAATAGAAAATATGCCACGACATCTCGATTAGCCAATAAATTGCTTAAACCAATAAATCAATACAAAAAATTATACCATCAAAATATGCCTAATATTAGTTTTATTTAAAAAAAGGAAAAAGAGCCTAATATTGGACCACAAAAAAAGAGCCTAATATTAGACCACAGAAATATTCCAACCTAATTAGAAAAGCATACGAGCCTAGCCACAAAATCCAACAATAAAAAAGTGTCCAAACTCAACCCTAACAAAAAAATAAATAAATAAATAAAAAAATATTCAAGACAACTTGAAAACCATACGCATGAGAATAGTCTAGTCCAACCAAAAAAAATTGTCTAGGTCACAACTAACTACAACTCTTTTGTCAATACGAATTTAGCTCAATGGTAATTGACACTTATTTCCGACCAAGAGATGGTGAGTTCGAATCTCCCTACTTCTATCTGTTGTAGAGTTGTACTGAAAAAACTACCATTATTCTAAAAATGAAAACACAACCAAGGTATTACTTTCAAGTTTTCATCTCTTACTCGAATTCATTTTCTTTAGTGCAACAATTACTGGAGATTTAATCATCCTTAAGAATAAAAGTACATGTCTTATTCACTTGAACTTTTTTAGATCTCTCTTATTTGAGTTCATACTTTTCGTAATTCAATTTAGATTAAAATTTTAAAATTTTAAGCTTACATTTCACCCCCTCTTCCCATAGTGTTTTTTTTTTAATGTATAGAAACTATTTTTAATAATTTTCATAAATAGTAAAAATCACTTTATAATTATTGAAGACTGGATATATTATGTTGGGATGATTCAATAATTATTGAAATGTATTATGAATAGTAGAGGCTTTTCTTTCTTTCTTTCTTTTTTTTTTTTTTTGAGTACAATGAATGGTAGAGGCTTATTTGACTAGTTAGTTGTATACTTTATTAATGTAATAAATATGTGATGTTATGTTTTATTTTTCTAGGCTAAATTAGAAAAGATATCCTTGAACTTTGCTTTTGTTTTTAAAATTACCCGTATCATTTTAAGTTTTAGTACTACCCTTGACTTTCCATAGACGTTTAAAATATACTCTTTTAAGTAAATATCTATTACTATTTTGAAAGAAAAGTCAACGTGACAGAATCTAGAACGACTTGACAATCAATGTCATATTTTTGCCTAAAAATCTTATTCCTCAATTGTTAAGAGAGTTTGCTTCTCTATTTTCTACCCAATGTTGCGCTAATCACTCTTTTAAAATGATAGCTTCTTTTTATCTTTTCTCTTTTTTCTAGACTTACAAGTCCTGGCAAGCCTCCAAATTAATGGTAAGACATTCTAGATTTTGCCACACCAATTTTCTTTCAAAATATCACCAGAAGTTTATTAAAAGGTTATTTTTGAAACATTTATGAAAAGTTAAGGGTAGTATTGAAATTTGTGAAATAATGATAGAAATATCGGAGTGTTCTTTTCTTCTCTTTTTTTTTCCCGTAAATTTAGCCTATTTTTATTTATTATGTTTAACTTTCTAGTTTTTAAATTTTTACAAAAATTTTAAACTAGCTTTAAAAATAGGTAAAAAACATTGAGCAAGCTTAATTTATAATAGAAAATTTAAAATATATAAGTAATTTATATAAATTAATATATAATGTAATTTTAGTAAAGGTTAAATTACAATATTAGTGCCAATATGAACCTAACTAAGCCGCTAAGACATTTTATACTCTCTAAAAGTTAGAGGTTCAATCCACCGTCTCATATTTATTCTACTAAAAAAATTACTATATTAGTTTGCGAGTTTTAATAATGTGCTATTTGGTCCTTAAACTTTAAAATGTTTTAGTTAATTCATAATAATTTCGATTTTAATTTTAATAGAATATGTACTATTAATATAGTTATTTAAGTGTCCACGTAACATGCTTAAACGAAGGCTAATGTTGTGTTTGATATGTCTCACACCTTTAAAAAGTGTCTAGTAAATCTTTAAATTTTTAATTTTCTACTCAACCTATTAGATTTTTTAAAAAATAAAAAATAAAAACAATATATTAGACACGTAACTGAAAGGTCAAAAATTATTACACAAAATAAAATAAAAAAAATTCAAACAGGTCACAAATTTGAAAATTGAATGATAGTACTAGACACTCTAACGATTTAGAGATTATTTGACATAATACTGAAACTTTTGAGGCCTATTCAAAACTTTATAAAGTCTTTGTAAAAAAAAAAATAGTTTATAAAATTTTGGTAAAGATGCTATTTTAGCTTTGGTATTCTCAATTTTAGTTTATTTGGTCTCTGTACTTTCAAAATATTCATTTTGGTCTTATACTTTTAATTTTGGTTTATTTTAGTCTTTATACTTCTAAAATGTTTGTTTTGATCCCGATACTTTTAAAAAGTGACCATTTTAGTCCTCAATCTTATTTTTAATATCATTTTTCTATCACAATTCCAACATAATACTACATTCAATATATTTTTGAAAGGTAACCATGACTTTATACAAATGAGTTTCCGTTATGTGTAGAATTTGCGTTAAAATTTTGAAAATAAGGATTAAAATGATCACGTTTTAAAAGTATATGGGCTAAAACGAACGGTTTGAGAGTATATGGACTAAAATGAATCCAAATTAAACATATGGAGAAGACTGAACAAGTACCAAAATATTATTTTAACCTAAAATTTATAGTTTTCTTTTTCAAAATTATAAATCCTAAATCTTATTAGACTTTTTTTAAGAGACATATTTTAAAAGTTTAGGCGGCACTAAACTTATAACAACCCTAGTATATATTATTTCTTGGTCCTAATCTATGTGAAATTCAACATTTTTTTTTGTTGAGAAATATGTGAGATTCAATATGAAAGATATACATAGCAAATAAATGTTTAGAATATTACCTAAAACTAAAAGCAAAAAGAATTGAGAATACTGAAAAAAGAGGAAAGAAAGAAAAAAGAAAAAAGAAAAAAGGAAAAGGAAAGGAAGAGAGAAATTTAAGAAATAGCAATTTGCAAGCTCAGAGAAATTGTCAAACACGTCCATGGATTCCAATTCTTCTTCGTGAGAGTTGAAGCGACCGAAGAAAAACTAAATCCCTTCAAACAAGTTCCGAGAGAAGAAGCTTCACCTCTCCGCGCCCCTCAATTGCAGGGCTCTGGTCAATGCGAAGAGGAGGAAGACGAAGAGGGAAGCCTATACATATATATTTGTATTGGTTGTTGAGCTCCGACACAGAGATCTGCCCTGCGAAATTGTTTTTGTTTCACTGGCGTAATTTTAGGAGTGGGGTGTAGCTGTAGAGCAAGATGAGTGGCGGTGGCAGTGGCAGTGGCAGTGGTGCTTCTCCAAGCACCAGAGATTTGATCTGCCACGCCGGCGCTGGTGCTGCTGCAGGTTTGCTTATTCCTTTTCCGGCTCAATTTCGAGCGTTTTCTGCTTGATTTTTGTTATGCGTCTATGAAACTTCGTGCCAGGGTTTGGAATTTGAGCGTTCAATTTAATTACTTCCCTGTTCAATTTGTGTGCATTGATTTCGTGTTTTGGGATTATTTAGCATTCCTGCATTGTGATGCGCCTTACAGGTGCTATAGCTGCAACGTTCGTCTGCCCGTTAGACGTGATCAAGACGAGGCTGCAAGTGCACGGTCTTCCATCTGGTCAAAGAGGAGGTAATCTATAGTCTCAACCTCAGTAAAAGAATTCTTCTTTGCTTCTCTAAAGTGCAAATAGACCATAAGTTGGTAATCTCAGGCTGCTACTAGTTAGATGCATCATTTAAGCCTACTTAAAAGTTAAGCTAGTTTGGCTGAGATGGGTGTAGCCAAACCAGTAAAGATATGAGTGGCTTTCTCAGAGGTGGTATGTTCGAATCTTGACCCGTTATTTGAATTGTAATTCTATAAAAAAGGGTCAAGCTCCCCGAAACCAATTTTTAACTACTACTACAGTTTTTAGTTTTTAAAATTTGATTAGGATTTTAGAAATAGATTATGGAACAAATAGAGCTGTTAGTAAACAAGCATTTTTTTCTAGAACAAGAAAATAGAAAACAAAATCCTTATTAAAGGGGCTCTTAACTCTACATTTTTAGTGAGATATACGAACAATATTTATATAGAAAAAAAAGCCGATATACGAACGATCTAAAGCTGAACTACAGCCAAGGTGGGTTTTTGTTTTGAAGGTTATAGTTTGGCTAGAAGATTAGAATCTATGGTGCCATGTGTTTGCAGGTCTGAATCAATTCACAATTCTGTTTTTCTTCCTTTTCCTCCTATTGCACTGGGACATCTCCTGGAAAGGCTATAACAACTTTTTGCTATTGGTTGTATGAATTTTGAAAATAAAACTAAGAAATTGACCCCGATTAAGACTTACAAGACTAATGGGTCAAAGGATTATTCTTAATTATGTGATATTAAAATTTCTGCATCTGAAAATGTAAGGTGATATACTTGTTTATGGATTATATTTTAATCTCGTCCGTATTCCTTTACCCAGGTAGTATTATTATCACTAGCCTACAAGACATAATGCGTTCGGAAGGTTTCAGGGGAATGTACCGTGGCCTTTCACCAACAATAGTAGCACTTCTTCCAAACTGGGCTGTGAGTATTCATTGAACTATTCCTGTGGAAAGTAGCACTAAGAGCTTTCATTATTTCAAACAGACGTATCAGTTTTATGGTTGGTCTATAGTACTCAAGTTCATGCCAGTGGTCAACACCATATTGAAACATGTCCATGAACTAGAATTAGATGAATAGGAAGCCTATTTGTCTGCAGGTCTTTCTTGTGTTTTCCTTTTTCATTTTATTTCATAGGGTTCTGAGTTATGACTTTTTGATGGATGAACGTAATTTTTCCATACAGGAAATCCCTCCTTGACTGCGACGTTTACATTGAATAATATATTTCTTTCCCACTTGATTGCAAAATGCATTATGTGATTTTTTTTTTTTTCCAAATCCACTGCATCCAGAGTGTTTTTCTTTTCTAACCCGGCAAGTCCGCTGTTTATCCTTTCTAAGAGATATTTTTTCGCATCTCTGATCTCATAGTTGACGGTCTTGCAAACTTTATATTGTGCTCATTTCTTAACTTCACAGTACATGACGGTACTTATAATAATGAAATGGCTATGGGAACTAAGTGGGAGAAAGACTCACGTACATGATAGTACTTGTAACTGTAGGTCCTAAGTGGGAGGAAGATTTACATTCACACTTCACCATGGTATTTTTTGCATGCTGACCTTCAATTACATACTAATAAAAATAACTTTCACTGTAAAACATAATTATATGATTTTAATTCTTACTGTAACTAAAATTTACCTCCAGATGGTCTATCTATGGCACAAGTTATTTTTATGAGATTTTTCGTCTTCGATTAATTTGTTTCAGGATCATTTTGTCATCACCCGAACTATTTATACTTTTCAAGTGACAAAATGTGCTTATCTCACATGTAGGTCTACTTCACAGTTTATGAGCATCTAAAAGGCCTACTTCATTCAGATGGTTGGTTTTTGGTGTTTACTGGCAAATGATTATTTCTTTCCCTTTTTGTAAACTTAGTTGCTTCTGGACATGCTGTTTCTGTCCTCTCATTTCAGATTTTGGATATCTTTAATTCTTTAGTTTAAGCCGTAGAAATGGTTAAATTGGATTGAGTTGCTTTGTTTGATCAAATATTATATTTGCTACTTGGTTGTAGGGGATAATGGTCAACTCTCATTTGGTGCAAATATGGTTGCTGCTGCTGGCGCTGGGGCATGTACTGCCATTGCAACAAATCCTTTGTGGGTTGTTAAGACCAGACTTCAAGTAAGTAGCAGGTGCTCCTAAATTTGCATTTCCCTGAGTTTGTGTCTTCTATACTCCATACTGAAGCACAGCTAAGTCTTCTATTTTGTATTGCTATTCTATTTTATGTTCATAGTATCCTTGGTTTCGACTCAGACACAGGGAATGAGGCCTGGTGTGGTTCCTTACACAGGCATGGTTTCAGCATTTACCAGGATCATACAGGAAGAAGGAATCCGTGGGCTTTACAGGTTCTTTCTCATCGTGTTTTTTAATTTAGATGTCTTAATTTGATGTGTTTCCCCAACTTTGTCATTTGAGTGTAATGAATGATAGATCGTTAGTGGCAAACAACTTTTATTTTGAATAATAATGAGAGGTGAATCTTATGTTGTTTGATCTTACATAGTTCATCCTGGTTTTTTTTTATGCCCTAACTTTTGTAACGATAATGAGAGCATAGCTTTTATTTGTTCTACAAACAGTGGTATCGTCCCTTCACTGGCCGGGATAAGTCATGTTGCAATCCAATTTCCAGCTTATGAAAAGCTCAAATCGTATATGGCAAAAAGAAGTATGTGATCAGTCACTTTTTATGTTAACGAGTGAGTATGTACTCCCTAATTTAAATGTGTCTGATCATTAAAAATTGAATTTGCCAGATAACACAACCATTGAAAAGCTAAGTCCAGTACATTTAGCTATTGCCTCCTCATTGTCAAAAATTACAGCCTCAGTAACAACTTACCCGCATGAGGTAGGTTTTTTAATCCTCTCTCCTTAGAGGTACATTTATTGTCTATCTCGGAGTTAATTCTTTATTCTATTCAAATTTCATCTCCAGGTAGTTCGCTCCCGGCTGCAAGAGCAAGGCCAAGCCAGAAATGTTGCCGTTCAATACTCAGGAGTCATGGACTGTATCAAAAAGGTTTTCCAAAAGGAAGGTTTTGCTGGCTTTTACAGGGGTTGCACGACAAATTTGTTGCGAACAACTCCGTCAGCTGTAATAACTTTCACCAGCTATGAGATGATACATAGGTTCATGCTGCAAGTTATACTTCCAGGCGAGGAGAAATACTCCGAAACTCGTACGAATTCAGATGGCCATGTGAAGGCCCAAAAAGCGAGCGGAGGCAATTTAAAGGAAGATAGTGATTCCAACATACAGCAATCACAACCCCAACCAAGTAAGCAAACTAGAACCCCTTTGGGGAAAAAAGAACAGTTAGCATCTAGACACTGATTAAATCTCGTTTGCCTTTTGTTTTTTTGTTTTTTTGTTTTTTGTTTTAAATTTTCAATTTAAAGATCTGAACAATAAAATTTTCTGATGGTGAATAAACGCACTCTCTCTGTGTGCCGTGAATTTTTGAACATGTTTACTGGTTGGTGATGCTATAGAAAAATTGTAGCATCCTGACATATACCTCTAACCATGAGGTTGTGAGTTCGATCCCCAACCCCCACATGTTGTACTCAAAAGAAAAACTGTAGTATCCACACGTCTCTGTAGTGTATGAAGCCATATGAAACTTGTATCTGATTGAGTCTAGAAATTTTGGAGATGAGATGCTGAGCAAATTATTGATTGAGTGGATAAGAATTCATTTGGTAAACAGGTTTTCACTAACCACAATGTTCCAATACATTTCTTGGGTATTAATATATATGTGTATTGTATATATCTATAACCCCTTCCTATCCATTCTGAAGATGTATATGCTTGAGATTAAATGATAGACTAAAAAAGTAAAACCGTGTGTTGTTTGAGAGAAGGTTGTAGAGTTACTATCAAGTTCATCTCTCTCTCTGAATATAGCAGAAACTAATCACTAGATTTGTTCTCTCTCTGTCTCTGTCTCTATCTCTCTCTCATTTTGAAGATGAATATGCTTTAGATTACATGGTAAACCAAAAAGGTAAAATTTCATGTTGGTTGAGAGAAGGTTGTAGAGTAACAATCAAGTTAGTTTTGTTCTATCTCTCTCATTGTGAAGTTGAATATGGCTTATAGGTTTGATCAAAAAAGTAAAATTGTCTGTTGGGTTGAGAGAAGGTTGTAGAGTTACAATCAAGTTCAAATCACTATGTGGAATGTGGCAGATACTAATAATTAGTTTGCTATACTCCTAACATTATTTAAACATTCATTTTTCTGAAACTTCTCCCTCTCAACTAGAAAATTGAGAGGCGAGAGAGATGGTTGAGAGAGAGAGAGTAGGGAGAAGATGAATTTTATATTGACTTAATTGGTTTTAACTTAACTTAGATGGTGTGTACATTGAATATTTTCAGTAGACAATGCTAGCAATGACTGACAACTGTAAAGAGAAATCAAACACGTAAATTTATGATAGTTTATATTTGACATCGTCTGTATGGTCAAGATATTTGGGTTAGTTTTCGAGCTGTTTGCGGTGTCTTGGATTCGTAACAGGGAACGACAGGCTCTGATGATGAAGGTTTTGTTGTTCCCTCCTTTCTAGGATAAGGGAAGATTTATGTGGTTGGCTTGTTTCTTTGCTATTTTGTGGGGAATCCGGATCGAGAGGAATAATAGAATCTTCAGGGGATGAGAGATCTTGTGGAGGATCAGTTTTTTAGTTCTTTTGTAACTATCAGCTAGGTGTTATTTTTCTGGATTGGAGCTCATTTCTTTAAGTATACCTCCGTTTGTAGGGCTGATTTTTTTACATTTTTTCTCAATTAAAAGCTCGGTTTCTCATTAGAGAAAATATTTTATTTATTTATTGACTTTGCTTTAGAAAATGGAAGAGTATAGAAAGAGGGGTCAATATCAAATATCAATGAGGGGGAGAGAGGGACAAGATCCTAGAAGGCAGCAGTATAGGAAATAGGAATAATACTGAAAATAGCACAACGTAGAAAGGAGAGGGTAACTCATCCCATCAAAGTCCAAATCAATTTTGATGTCTTTTACAAATGAAAGTTTATGGTTTTATCTAAAGTGAGAAGCATTGCTTTTTAGGTGTGGAGTGAATATTGCCTTTTGTTTTTGAATGGAACATTTCATATGCCTTTTGTATATCTGGTCCAATTTCTTGGTCCCAATACTCATGCCATCTTTCTTTCTACACATTCCTCGAGAACCTCCTCTCCTGAAAATAATAATGAATTAAAATGTTATTTTGATCCCTGTATTTTCAAGTTTGATTCATTTTTATTTTTAAAATGTTCATTTTGGTCTCTGTACTTTCAAATTTGGTTCTTTTAATCTCCATACTTTCAAAATATTTGTTTTGGTCACTGTAAAACTTTAATCTCTACAAATTCTATACCCAATGAAAATCTTTCGATATAAAATTGTATCTACATTTTACAAAATATATTGAATGTAGTGTTGAAATGAGATAAAAATAAAATAAGGGGACCAAAATGATCCTTCTTTAAAAGTATAGGAAAATAAATGTTTAAAAAATACATAGATGAATATTTTGAAAGTACATAGATTAAAATGAACAAAACTAAAAGTAAAAGGGTCAAAATAGTATTTTAACAAAAAAAATAAAAAATAAAAAATAAAAGAACATGTTTTGGTTATAACTTTTATAATTCATTCTGTTGGATCTGGAACTTTTTAGTTCTTTTAAATGTCATGTTTTATTCTCTAATCTATCCTTATCCTTAATTTTTCATTGGATCCCAACACTCATTTTATTAACATGTGGCTTTAAACACTTATCTATGTCAAAATGTACTTACCGATTAAAAGGACTACCAAGGATTGAAATAGTTATTTGTGTAATAAAGCACAATGTTCTTAAAAGTTGTGGACATCAAATTGCAATATAGAGTCATTTATAATTGAAATTCAAATAATATATATATTTTCTTAAAATTAGAGTAAAAGAGCCAAAACCCTAAGAAATTTAACATTGGATCACAATCCAAGCAGTCAAAATAAATTTATCCCAGCATTTTTTTTTATTATCATTCTTCAAAAACATGATGTGAACACAATAAGATTGACCTAAAATTGACAGATTTACATCACTAACCTTTTGGTCGAGAATACATATTTTAACCAGTTGAGTTAATTGTCACATGCTCCGTCCAAAATGTTAAAAAGATCTCTCATTAAATAAAGTAGGAAAAGGGTTCCTCAACTTATAAAAATCCGTCATAGGTACAACCACCACTATACTCTTTGATATTGCAGGTAAGAATCTATCTATTTATCTAAAAGGAAGAAGTATATACTCGTGTCACTACTCTATCACTATGTGCATGTCGCACTCAAATTAATACTTTAGTTTGGCCAATCCATATAGTTATTAATCAAAATTTGAAACATATTTTATATCAATTAAAAATTTCTTATCGAGTTAGCCATCAATAGATTTGTCAACTCCAATTTAACTATGATAAACTAAAATAGAAGTGTAAAGAAAGAATGTTAAGATATACTTTAAAATTGGTGCTAATTTTGTTGTAAGATGAACAACTACAAACTATAGAATTGGTTAAATTAAATTATGGGATATAAATATTACTTGAAAATTCATAAAAGGAAAAATTCAACTAAAAATAAAGCTGATTTGACAGAATAAGCAATTCCCACCATTGGAAATCTATTTAGAATTTCAGATACAAAAATATTTTTCATATAGCGAATTATTTACGCGAACCCCCTTGATTAAGATCTTAATCCTTCCCCCCACCCCTATTTTAGGTAAAAATTACAAACTATACTAAAAACAGAGAATATTAGATTAGATATTTTTTAATTAATTATAGAAAGGGTTAAAAAGGTATTAAAAAAAATAATCATCCATTACTCGGGGATGCCGGCGAGCACCGGCCGCCACGTTTTCCGGAGCAAGTACTTGTATCGGAAACCGGTCCAAGCCGGTCTGGGAGAACCCGGTTTCCAACCGGTCGATCCAACCTCACCATCTTCCTTCTCCTTGCAAACCGGAATCAGGTTCGGGCTCGCCGTCGCCGTCGCTGCCGCCTCCTTAATCTCGCCGTCGTTTCCGTCGTACGGCGGCGACGAGACGAACAAGTCCTTCAACGTGTTGCTCCGCGCCAAATCCGTGTGGTCTCTCTTCTTGTCGGGCAAGGCACGGCGGCGAGGGGATCTCCGGCCGGAATTCCGAGTGAGAAGCATCCGCAGAGTGGTTTTCCGGCGACGGAGGTGGACGAGAGGGCTCGTTCTAGGGCTCAACGTGGGACTCTGAGCGACGCCGCAGTGAGTCGGGAGGAGCTTGAATTTCAGAAGCGACGCCATGGTTGGTGCAGAGAATCAATCAAATTGACGATCTGGATTGTGGAATTTGAAGAGCCGCCGTTGCAGAGGCTTTGGAAATTTGAATTTCGGTAATGATTTGGAGAGGAATTTGGATTTGTAGAGAGAGAGAAGCGTGCGTTGGGAATTGGGGATTTTGTCTTAAGCTTTGAATTGAGAGAGAAATGAAGAAGAAAAAGGAAGAAAAGCGGTTCATTCTCCCAGTAAAATTCTCATTCCAACTATGAATAATTAATATTAAATATTAATAGTGATGATGAAAAAGAGGCTCTCTGATTCCTATGCTTGACTGGAAATTGGAATTCAATTGGAATACCTCTGCTAAATTACTCTTTTGCCCCTATGAGCGTCATTCACCAACTCCACTTTTTCACTTTAGGCGTGGTACCCTCGATGTTAATAAAAATGTTGAGGACCAATTCTCTATCTCATTAGTAGAGGTTGCTAGTCGAGGGAGATGTAGAGTATGGGAGATTGTTGATTCCTAAGTAGAGTATTAGTAGTGATTATAGGTGGATCTATTATCTCATATTTGGAGAGAAAATAATTGTAGAATTGATAGTGGTGTCAAGGGGTGTACATAAGAGATCGAAAAATTTATCCAACCTACCGAATAAACGTCAGTTCATTGGACAAGAATATCTAAAACTGATCGACCAACCGATGTCATTATCTTTTAATTAATTATATATATATTATTTTAGGGTTTCACACTCCCTCATACTTCCCTCTCCCTCGTTCCTCCCTCCCTTCTGTCATTTCTCCCTCGTCGTTGTTGAATCCAACAAGCAACCTCGTTGTCATAGGCTCACATCTGTCGTCAAAGACTCTTTATGTTGTCACCCAATACAACCCAACCCTCATTGTCGTTCAGATCCTGTTGAAATCTAGCCCCCTCGCCCACTACCGTTCAGTCCCGCCGCAACCCAAACAATTGTAAGCTGTATATATGCTTGTTAAAAATTGACTGACCGATGGAAAATGGTTCAAAAGTAGTAAGTCAGTTTCCATGGAAACCAACCATGTGTCTCAACATCAATTTGGGCCTAAAAATCAACTCGATTGACCGATGTACAACTCTAGTGGTGTTTATCTTCTGACTTAAATTATTTTCTCTCTTATTTAGAGTGATGTCTATACTCGTGTTATTAATAGACGAGATAATTTCATTCTAGAGGTCGAACTTTGATGGAGTTTACTTGAGATTTATTTTTACAACTAAATCACTTTGTGTATTTCAATGTTTTTAGTGGATTAAGTGAATATCTGTTTTGACGGATTTGTTTTTTTAATGTTTTTAGATTTTGAATTTGAAATTTTAAAATGCAAAACTACATTCAAAAGTAATATTAAAATTTTTGATAAATATATTAAATACTATCTTGATCTCTTGTGCTTTCAACTTTGGTTCATCTTAATATATCGTACTTTCAAAATGTTCTTTTTCGTCATTGTACTTTTAAAAAGTTACCATTTTTATGTTTTAATTTTATTTTTTCTATCACAATTTCAACGTGAAACATACTCAATATATTTTAACGTATCTTTTTCAAATAGTATTTTAAAATTTGATTTATTAGGAAAATGAAGGTAAAAAATAGGGAAAAAAAGAGAAAAGAAAAACAGCGATATAGTTTTGCATAAAGAAAGGCGGGGGTCGGGGGTTAAAAAACTCAGAAATGGGCGGAGATTACCGGAATCAAATTTGTTACCGTTGAGATTAATTCAGAAGGAGATGAAAAAACTTGTTACCGTTTAATTAATGTAATTCAAAATTAGTGAAACTCAACTGGAATTCAACTAAATTAAATTTCAAGTTTCCCAATTTGTAAAATTATAATCATAAGACACATTGGAATCCCTTATCTCCACTCCATTGTTTATCTATTCATCACTGAAGATATACTGGATGCTGCGGTGGATTGAATAGACTGTTGTGATGATGTATTTAGCGATAGATGAGTGTAAATCCACTTGGTTTTCACTCAGTCACCTTCTCTATCCAGATGGAAGACGACGAAGTAGAAGATATGAACTTTATTAGTATATATTTATCATAGTGGCTCTGATAAAATTGAAGATCCTCGTACAAACATATGATATCTAGTAAATTATTGTCCTTTATTTTGTTGGTAATAATTTAGTCTGTTTGCTTTTCAAAAATAGATTTTATTAAATTGCAATCGACGTTTCAATCTTATCTATTACTTTTAATTTTCAGTTTAAAAAAAATCTAAAGAGTCTACACAGACTCCCATCCATTTCAATCAGAGGGCTAAGTTTGTTCTCGAATCATTGTTTGTCTTTATTGTTTCTTAATTTTTCGCTACATTCTTTAATTAAAACAAACAAACACGTGTCCTTTTTTTTTTTTTAACAACAAACAAACACGTTTATTTATGGCATATTATTTGAAAATGTTATTTTAGATATGGGCCTTAAACAGTTTTCAGCTCAATAACTTGACAACATTACAGTGGGTCCTAAACGGGTGGGCTTCCAGCCCATCTATAAAAGCTAGACCAAGCCATAGGTGAGATCAAGCCATACCTTTTCAATTAAATAATAGAGAATTTATAGGAGCTGTCCCTGTCCCTATTATATTTGTGATGTATGGAAAAATGGGCCAAATCATTTTTTATAATGAAAAATATCCATTTATATTTTTCTAACTGTTTTGCAAGTTTAATATTTGACACTTCTCACCACTCTTATTATACACTTAGATATATATGGAGATAGAATTCACCAATTATAAGGTCACATCACACAGAGGGAGATGATTAGAGACAGAATCTATCGGAGTCGAGTTGACAAAGAGAGAGGATGCGACAAATTTATGATTGATAGAAATGGGTTGAAAGTGGAGCGGCGGGGGTGGAGCTTAAATGAGAGGGAAGCCTGAGTTTCCATAGTTTGTATACCTTTTTGGTTGAAGGTAGAGTGCTTTATATTTTTGTATTAATCTTTAGTTGATATTGTTTATTGTATTTGTTACTCTTTCCTTATTTTTATATTTTGTATTAATTGGTCACAAAAATATATCTTATTTCTTCATATTATTTGTATATGTTTAGTTGATCTTGTTCACTGTATTTGTTACTTTCTTCTTATTTTTATATTTTTGTATTAATTGTTCACAAAAATACACATCTGTTCATTGTATTTGTTGTTGTATTTGTTCTCCACTTCACTGTATTTGTTGTATTTGTTCATCTCTTCACCATATTTGTTTTTGTGTTAACCGTATTTGTTGTATTTTTGTGTTCACCGTATACTTTTGTTTCTCTGTTCACCATATTTGTTGTCCGTATTTGTTGTATTTTTATTTGTCTGTTCACCATATTGTTGTTTATTGTATTCATATTTGTTGTTTATTGTATTTTTGTTTCATCCTATAAAGATGGTTAGGTAGGATCCTCCTATGAAAAATGAAAAATAACAAATTCATTTAAAAATGATTTAGAAGAGGGTAATTTCGTCCCTAAAATATTAGTATAGATCTTCCTACTTTTACGTTAGCCATTATTGAAAAGTGAAAATCGTTTGACCATATTTTGAAATCACTTATTTTAAATGGCTATATCTATTATTACCCCTATAATAATACCTATATGAGGTGATCGGGATGACAATCTCATCTTAAATTTTATTTTGTAAGAATTAAATTAAATAATTCAAACCATGTATAAACATTTAGAACAAAGTAAAAACAATATTAATTATAAAAAAAATCACTTATAGGAGAACTTAAAAACATGCGAAGAATTAGTACTTGTGGTTGAGATTATCTTTCCTTGAAGCATCTTTGTCTCTCATTATTGTTTACAATTGTTGGAGGAAGGGAACCATAGTGCAACGTGGAGGACAACGATTTGCCAAAAGACATACCCATATATGAATATCCAGACAGCTCCATCTCGACACCTTCCGAGGTGGAGGGCTTAGTCATTATTTCTCTCACCAAATCACTAATATTAAGGATAAACTGTCTAGGTTCGATCTGTTCAACTCGACAGATTCGACCTCAACTATGACCAGGGTAATTGTCTGTTGTAAACCCGGAGCCTAAACCTATAAATAGAGGGTCTAATTTCAACACCAGGTATCAAATTTCTCCTCGAACTTAATATTGAGTCCGTAGCTGACTTGAACGGCGGAAATTTTGCCCTATTGTGCAGGTTTTCACGTTGTGATCTAAGTCGGATCGAGTTCGATCTTGACCAAGGTTTGACGTTATGCATTTCTTTGCGTAAACAATGATCAAACTAATAATTAGTTATTTATTAAAATACAATGGTTAGACAACAGTATGCAATTAAAAAAAATTACTGTGTATTATTACTCTTTAAGAGATTAATGTAAAAGTTTTGTGTATAGAAAAATAGATAAGAGAGCTCTCGATATAGTTGTACAAGTTGGGAGACATTGCACAAATATTAAAATTCTAAAATTTTTAAATTTTCACTATTAATAATTATAAAATAACAAATAACGTCATCAAATTTAAAATTACTTTTTAAAAAAATATGTTTTTTCAAATATTTTTAAAAAAATAAATTGACAAAACTTGCTTGTATTCAAACTTTTTTTTTGTTATTTCAATTTTAGGATCGCATCTCATTAGTTTCAATATATTTGTATACTTTTATTTCTTTTAAACATTATTTAACTATTAAAGCACAATAAATTTTAAATTTTATTATTAATTATAATTAAAGATAAAATCATAAATTTTAGAACTAATTTTAGTAATAATGGGGAAAAAATTATTTTCAAACTCTTTACATAATTGTTCTGAATGTATTTAAATTATTAATTTCAATTTGTATTTGAAATTTTAGTTTTTTAAAATTTATTTAGTTATTAAAAGTAAAAGAATCATAAATAAAAAATTTTAAAAACCAATGTTTTGAATAAATAATATATGGATGTTTATTTGGTAATGACAATTTTATGAATGCATCTAATTAAGTTTCATTACATTTTTTTATTTTTTTATTTCTTTAAACTTAACTATTAAACAATATACTTACTTAAAAATTTATTATAATTAGATATAAAGTCTTAAATTTTAAAATTAATTTTTAGAAATAAATGGTTAAAAACTTTATTACCTTAGCGGTACTTGTCACCTGTCTCTTACCAAGAGGCTGTGAGCTTGAATCCACCCACCCTCACTTGATGTACAAGAAAAAGAAAATCA